GGTCCACTGAGTACCTGTTACCCCAGGAGTGCAATCAGGTAATCAAGTGGTATTCTCCAGCTCTTGTTTGCAGGAAGGTCCAAGCCACTTAAAAAAAGAGTGACTTTCTTGGCTTGGTGCCCGTAGCACAATAGTTATGACGCCAGCCACACACAACATACACTGAGGCTGCTGGGTTCAAACTCAGCCCGGGCCAGCTAAACAATGACAACTGCAACAAAAAAAACAGCCTGGTGTTGTGGCGGGCACCTATAGTCCTAGCTACTTGGGAGGCTGAGGCAAGAGAAACACTTAAGCCCAAGATTTAGAGGTTGCTGTGAGCTGTGGCACCATGGCACTCTACCAAGGGTGGCAGAGTGACTCTGTCTCAAAAAAAAAAAAAAAAAAGTGACTTTCTTGACTTCTCAGATCCACCCCAGTAATATGAAATTAAATTAATACCCTACAGATATCCTCTACCAGCATAGCTAAGTCTTCACAACCTTAATGGAACACGTTTTTTAGGCTTTGGTCTATGGGAAATGTTGGTTAAAAATCAACCCCATTTTTAAATGTCATACTTTAAAATGTGTTAAATCAAAAATGGGTGAAAAAAACAAGACTCCCACTGTCAGGCAACATTTCAGATTCTATTACACTAGATCACACACAGCAGATCATATTGAAAGACTGAGAACTCAAAGTAAAACAAAAATACATAGGGCAGCGCCTGTGGCTCAGTGAGTAGGGCGCGGGACCCACATACCGAGGGTGGCAGGTTCCAACCCAGCCCTAACCAAACGGCAACAAGAAAGAGCCAGGCATTGTGGTGGGTGCCTGTAGTCCCAGCTGCTTAGGAGGCGAGGCAAGAGAATCACCTAAGCCCAAGAGCTAGAGATTGCTGTGAGCTGTGATGCCACATAACTCTACGGCAGGCAACAGAATGAGACTCTGTCTCTAAAAAAATAAAAAAATAAAATACATGAAGACTTTTGTTTCAAAAGCCTGCCAAAGATAAAAATGAATAATAAAATACAATTCTACTCTTGGGAATGGTGTAGAAATAAACAAAAGTTGTTCCCTATCCCTTAGACTACTGAGAGCAAGAGAGGGAGAGAACAAAGTCTGTCGTATCTTAGCATCACAGGGAAAAGAATCATCCATTTAATTTTCAGTTAAGTAACAAAGCTTTTCATAAAGGACAAATTCAACATACTTTCCCTACACCAAAATTAATTACATCTACTCTACAAATATTTCCGCACCTCCCCTACATGTTTTTCCACTTCTCCAGGAAGTGGAAATGGCTGCAGCGCAACAATTTCACATTGTATAAAACCAGAATCAAATTGTTTCATTTTAATAAAACTGTAAAGAATTCTAATGTCTCCTGATTCCTTACTAAAATTACATCAACTGTTTTTAAATTCCATCACATATAAAGAAGGGACTCAGGGAAGAAAACACTGCAATCACGCCTCTCTGCAGCATACTATTAAACTTCAAAAGGAGGGTTCAACATTTTGTCATATTTGAGGCAAAGTATTATTGGTCTCTGGAACATAAAGCACACTGAGGAAAGCAAAGAAATCCTGAAAATTAGAAAACTCCAATCCTGAACATTAGTCTCTCTTCTCACATCTAATGATGCTGTTTTGGGAAATGGATTAAGCCATTATTTATCCAGCAAAATCAACAGGGCAATTGTTCTTTCTTAGCTCCACCCGTCATACATGAGAGTATTTAGTGTTCCTAAAAAAAAAAATGTATGCTCCATAAACAGCAGATTGTGATGTCTATGCTACAGCCCTCGTTTATCAAATAAACCTTTATCACTTTAGGCTTTTACATTTACACCCAGCCCGTCTTAGCGCCACAGGGGTGTGCCATCAAGCTCTGCTCTTCCAGAAAATCGCAACTGTATTTTAAAATATTTTTGGTGAAGTTGACTTTTAACACATTTCCAACCTCATTAATAAATAACTCTTTTTTAAAAAATGAGACTGTTTAATGAAACACAGCCTATCCGTACAGGAACTGACGTGCTCCATTTAAACTGAAATACTGCCCGGCCCCCTTGCAAAGTTAGGGCTGGGACTGAGTTTAGGGGACTGTCATGTCCTGAACTGGACTGGTGGGGTCGGAGACACCGAACGGGGCGGCCTCCGGGGCCAGGGAAAGTTGCAGGGCTCCGCGAGCGCCCGCAGCAGCAGCAGCAGCAGCAGCAGCAGCAGCAGGTAGTGCGCCGGCCTGGCCTCCGGGCGCCCCGAACCCTGTAATGCAACATCCTCTTTGCCACCCGGGCGGAACGCGCGCTCTCTAGTAATTCAACACCCCGACTTTCAAACTGGAGGCCGGGGGAGAAGTTCTAATCAACGCCTTCCCTACGCTGCACAACATCTGCGCTCACTCTCTGTATTTTCAAACCAGCCTCAGGGCCGCGCCAGCCCGAGCCCCGGGCCCAGCCCGGGCGGCCGGGACGCCCCGTCCCCGGGACGTGGGGCAGCCGAGGCCCACCGGGCTCTGCCGCGGGGCGACTGCGGCCGGGACCGGCACGTTCGGGTCGGGCCTCGCCCCTCCGGCGGCCCCGGGAAGAGCGGGG